TTTTTTCTAAAATTTTAGACATAAGGGGAAGATTTGAAATGGGTCTGTAATTTGCCAGTTCACTAGGATCTAGTTGTGGTTTCTTAATAATAATAGTTAGAACGGTAGCTAAGTTTAGGTATGGGGTGGATTAAGGGATCTAAAATATGGTCATGCAGAATAAGGCATTACTATTTGCTTTATAATTACTAATAAACAGCCAATATGTCTCAGGATCATGGACTGTCTGTGTCATGTTTTGCCCCTGTTTCTGTTCCCTTATTTGGTCATGTTCCTGTCCTCGTTTTGTTAATTAGTTTGATTAGTCATCCCATACACCTGTGTTTCCCCAATCATCCCCTGTATTTAAGTCCTAGTCTGTGCAGTCTGTCTCTGTCGGTTCTACTTGTTATGTTCATGCGTTCCCAGTGTTGGATGTACCCTGTGTTTCTTGGATTAAAGACTGTTTCTTTTATTCCTTGTCTCCATCGTTCCTCGCCATCACAGATTGTAACAAGACCAGTGTGTTATGTTAACATTTAGTAATGCATTATTCAAATCAAAAGTTGTATCCATTGAACTAACATTAATTTATAATGAACAGTTGTATTTTTTTTAATGAATACTGTAGCAAATGTACTGATCATTGTTAGTTTTATGTTAGTTAATGTATTACTAATCTTAACTTAAAGGGTCTAATTTTACCACTCAAACTCGTATTGAACCTGGAACAGTTCCCTCCTATTGTGTTTGATCCACATTCGATTTTTACTTCAACTGCTTGAAACATTGGTTAATTTATTTCTTCTTGAAATGTTGTGACTTTTTCTCATTTAGGGGCATGAATGTGCATGCAAATTTTCAACACATAGAAGTGTTTTGGAAAGGCCATACAAATTTTGGTGAGTTAGATGGTGTTAGTTGGTTCCATGTCATTTGCACACTTTGAAAAACAGCAGAGAGTCAGTTAAAAAAAACTAAAAGTTTTATTGTAGCTGGTCAGAGACAGAAATTTTAAGACAAATACTTTTGAAATTTAAGCTGACCAAAGGGAGGGACTTTTTTTTTTTACACAGGAGTTTTTCATATTTTATATATTATTTAGTCTCTGTCAAGCAGCAATTGAGGTTTTATGTAAAAGCAAGACTCTTTGTAGTGTTGATTTTTGACAAGCTGCATGGAAACCAAAAGGGTTCAATTTGACACCTAAAACAAACTAAGTAGTCATATTTTCAGCACACCGGGAGTGTTATTAAATGTGCAATTATGTGAACAAGAGAATCTTGGTATTTGGTATATTACATTTACAGGATTTGGTCTGGCTCACCTGGCCTGCTGGTTTTCAGCAGTTTGCCTCACTATCACTTCACCATTGCACGGGAGATGCTGAGAAAATCCACACATAACCATACATTAATATTTACTTATGTGACATAGCGTCATTAGTTGACACTGATAAGCTGGCAGAGGATGCAAAACTAAAAACACTATTATTCCGAAACATATTTGAAAGCACATTTTAAATTCCTCTAGATTTACGAAAAATAAATTCAATAGTAGACTGACCTGCTTTACTTTCTGCTCATAATGGAGCAGGAATTGGAAAGCTAAAGCACAGAGGCCCATGGCAGCACACAGCAGCCCAGCCAGGAGCAGTCGACCCGCGGCTTCAGTCAGACTGACAGAGGGGTGCAGAGGAGACTCCTCCAGAAGAACCAACCCCATCAGAACCAGACACGGACTCCATTTCGGCCAGTTTCTCCTCCAGTGCAGTCTGACAATAAGAGAAACAGAGATTCAATCATAATATTGACAGAGTCGGCTAAACTTGGTTATTACGAACGTGTATCATTTTGCAAACATTATGAGAACATTCTGAATGTTCTACGTTTTGAAACAAGCATTACATAGTACATTAGATGGATGTCCAGCTAACATTCCACGAACAATGTATGGATAACATTTTGAGAACATTATTTAAAAAGCAGATAACTCTGAAACAGTAACTATGAATGTTAATGAAAGAATGTTTGTTCGTATAGCTTTGAAAGAAGCTTGTTAATTTATGATAAACTAAAATGTACTTTAATGTCATATCTAGATACATCGTAATTACACATTTGTATTTCCAATGCAATTCAGAACAAAAACACACTGCAGTACTTCACATGCGCGTTAGTATTAGTCAACACATCAAAGTACGTGTACTTAAAAGCACAATATAAGCAGTTAAATTAACATTATTGCAAAATGCTCTTCTTAAATGTGTACTGCTCTCTTTAAGTACACCTAAGCTGTCATTGAATTCAGTATTATTATATTATCTGTATGTGCAGTTCAAAACAATACTTTGAAGAACACTACAAGTGCACATTTAAGACAAGTACACTTCTTTTTCACAAGAGTTAACCCACTCTCAGCGCTCCAAACACCCACCTCATCCGCCTCCACTCTCGTCCAGCTCTGTCCTCCACCTCTCGGCGGATCATCTGCTTCTCCTCCGCCGTTCCATCCTGTCCTGCTCTGCCCCGAGTCCCGCTCCGCTCCCAGCAGCTCCACATGGACGTCCTGCGGGAAGTGTTTGGGTTCCTCAGCCCATGCCGTGGACACTGAATACTGGATTTTCCAGTTGTACCAGTCGGTGCAGCAGGTTTAATTCATCATATACTCGTGTTTATTGTTTTCCTTGTTAGGTTGTAAGAAGAGTATGTGAGGAATGCGGTTATGGTGAGGGAAGTTGCACTGCGCCAGCTGCCGCCAGCAGCACCACACCCTCCTCAAATACAGACACTTTTTCTTTTTTCTTTTTTTCAAATACAGACACTTTACACTTTACACAGCTCGCGCAGTGCGTCATTTAAAATAACCAACAATTTAAAATTTAAAAAATGCACTCAAGAAGGACAAAACTGTTTACACTGTAAATATTCTTGATATGGTAGAATGAAACTACTGCATATTATTAAATGTGTTACCATGTCACATCAGTGCATCTTTTTTTAATACAAATCTATCTAAAATTAGTTATTTTTATATACGTTTTATTTATACATTATATTCCCTTAATACTTACTTCTAAATCAAATCAGTTAACAGAAATGTTATTAATTTAAACTCGTCTCGTGTAACAATAGAAAACGTTTAATGTAATGCACTTACTATAAATTATTTGTAAATCCTAATTTTATTAATGTACTCAGTAAAAAAAAAGTATCAGTTTTTCAAGTTGTACTTACTTTTCTGAATGAATTGACCAAACTCTGTTTGGTTTTCTGACGTAATTCTTGTGGGCGGAGTTTTGCTTAATTAAAAAAGAAAAAATCAATGGAAAATAACATGACCCTTCTTAATGTCTTTCTGTGCATGTCATGCGTACTGGTTTTAAATGGGCTTAATGTTGAGTCAAAAGATTACGTTATACTTGTAATTATGCTGTCAATATATCTTAGTTTTGTATTTATTCCCAAACATTTCTTAAAGAAAAAAAGGGCAGTCTACAAAATAAAGCCAAGATAAGGGATTTGAGGACTGACAGACAATAAAGACATCAAGTTTACAAAAGTATGTTTATTTCCCATCACTAGGAACAACAGGAGACACCAACCCAGAGACACTGAGGCGCATTACTGTACATAAACTGTCAATAATTACAATACTTATCATAGTACAGATTTTTTTTTACATTGTACAAGTTTGTCTCAGTATAAATAGTGTATGCTGGATATATTTCCCTTTCTCTGGTTATAAAGTTGCAGCAGTGCTCCACTGATGGATGTGCAAAACCCAAATAAATACTAGTATGTCCATAAACACAAGTTACATAAAATACACAAGTTCTTAATGTTCTCCAGTCATTTTAACAGATAATAGACAGAATAATATGAGGACTCAGATACATTTTGAGAAGGATTTTTGTGGGGTATGAAGTGCTCAACCTTCATCTGAACCTCGCTCTGGCTGGTGACTCCTTCCTTGGACCATATTATAACATTTTATAGTAACTTTTATTAAGTAAAGCATTAATCTGGGGTTTGCTTTCATTTAGCAAGGGAGCGGATCTGGGCATGAATGATCTGATCTTGGAAGTTTTGCTTCAACCATCAAAAGAACGAGACAATTTTGAGACTGATGCTAGTTTCTCAAAAAAAAACAAAAAAACCGTCAAGGTCATAATCCACCCCAAAACCAAAAGAAAATACATTATATTTCGCATTAAGAAACTGAAGTCTGTTTTTTAGGAATATTAATATTGTTGCATCATGACATTATGTTCATGACAATCAAGCACATTTTCAATATTGTAATGCTTAATAGTTATAAAAATTAAGTCACAAAGCGTCACATTCCCTGTGTTAATTATAGTTCTTTCTTTGGATTTTGGGGTAAAGTGTGATGCGCCTGCTAATCCAGACAGTATTTTTACAGTTCCAAATATATTCAAACAAAATCCAGTAAAAGTGAGGATCCACAAAACAAACAAAAAAACATAAATAAAGAGAGGGAAAAAAAACTAATTAGGCCAAAATGAAGATAATAAAAGAGGCAGGATGGCACAGGTTTAAAGTCATGATTGTTCCTGAAAACATATATGGTTGGGTGTCTAGAGAAACACAGTTAACCACTCCAGTGTTCTTATTAATTCATAAAAAAACATCTTGACTATTTCAGTTCATTGTTTTGAACTCTTCAAGAAAATAAATCAGAAATCTGTTTGTTCATTTAAAGCAACTCTGCAGCTGAAGATGACAAATCAGGTTGTTCATGTGAGAATGAGGGTCAGGGTTTGGTGATATGAACTTCACTGGCCCCCGTCCCGTTGGTGGTGGTGGTGATGATGTACTGCGTGGTGGTCTGCTGACTGACGGCCAGCTGCTCCAGTGGGTCGGGGTGAACCTGCGCTGCGGTGGACGGGACATTCACCTGCTTACCATCCAGCTCCGTCTGTCCTTCTGAGATCACATAGTGTGTCTGCAATGCACGAGAAACCAAAACACAATTGCATTACAATATGAAAGCAAAAACACTGGAATTTATGTGTTAGCCAGATAGCTCCTCCAGACTCACCGTTTTGACCTGACTGCTGTTGACGGCAGCAGTGACGGGGGCGCTGGCCTCTGCTATCACATACTGAGTATGAGGAAGAGCCATCATCTGGATCTCAGCTGCTTACAGGAGCAAAAGGAGGAAAACACAAGGCTGCCATTATGTTTTCTGTATAAATACAGGTTAATATAACAATACATATCTATTAAAGAAGCTTTTGCTGAAGATGCTTACGATAACTCCTGTAGTTCCAGTTGCTGGGAAGGTACGCATGCTGTGCAGCACCTTGCGTCTGACTGGTGGACGTCTGTAGAGGCTGGCCCTGAGCGAGGGTCACAGGGGTCAGCTGGGCGGAGCTAAGCTCCTGGGCTGCTTGCTGAGAGGAGGGACTTAGAGGCTGAGCTGAAACCTGATTGGATGATAGAAAGTGTTAGAAGGGTAGTAGTGATGGTTAGTGATGGGAGAAACGAACCATTTCGAAGCTACGAATCAATTGCTTCGCAAAATGATTCACTGTTTCGAAGCGCTCGAAACACCACACGCTGGTGACGCCTGCTGGTCAAAACTGTGTAAATGCAACAAAAACTCAGACCAAAACATGCATAAAAACAGCTTTTACAAACCCAATGAAAACGCGTTCTTGAAAGTATAATATATTAAATGCAATCAAAATAATAAAATACCATTAAAAATGAAGTGTCTGTATAATAGGCCTATGTGTCTTTAAAATAATTATTATTAATTTGCAAGGGCTTGTTTTGTTTGTTTTATGGAGAGCTTGTCAGAGATCGCCCCCCTAAGGCGAACTATTGAAATTTCAAAACAGTTATGACGCAACGAAGCCTCGTTTACAGAAATCACGTGACTTTGGCATTTTGATACATGCTCTGAACCACTGTTTCGAAACAATTGATTCGCAAAGGTTTCGAAGCTTCATGAAGCAGTGTTTCAAAAGCGGCCATCACTAATCCATCTTCAATATTAAAAAATAAAAAAAAAAACAACAGCTTAAACCTCTTTCAGTAACCATAAAGTGAACATTGTTCAACTATTTCTACTTGAGATTTCATGAGCTACATTCCCACTGTTTTACACTCATTCAACACGACTATAAAATAATAATTATTATGATTTTTATTTTGATTATTATTAAATATAAATATAAAAATAAGAAATATATTGTAGTAGCACTATTGTAATGTAAAATAAATCAAGTATTTAAAAAATATAATTTTATTTTACAGTACAACTGTAAAATTACAATACTAATATTAATGTCTTAATTGATTCATTTTCAAACTTTAATCCATCAAGCTTTTATTTTGACGGCTTGCCGGAGAAAATTCATAAAATTTCAAAAACTCTCAGTGCATACATTTACCTAAAGGGGGTATTCACCACTGGCAAGATGGGCTTTTAATAAAATGTACTACTGATTTCAAAAAATGTTTTGCATTTCTACTTAATAGACAGCAACATGACTAAAGAAAAAAAAAAAAGGCGGTGATGTTCTCTTTTGTCAACAAAACCAAAAACATCAATTTTGGCACGGCCCTCTTTCGATCCGACTGCCAGAGGGTGGGAATACAAAAATGCAGATGTTCGATCTGTAGTTTTAACAAAAGCCCTGGAGTTATTAAAGTTATTCTGCCAGATGACAAAAATGACATATTTTGCATCATCCAGTGAACAATTGCTGATAAATACATGGGATATTCAGGGCAGGTAACACCGAGAAAGAGTGTTCATTGTTCATTTACTTATACTGACATTGCAGCAATATAAAGCTGTTTGGAAATTGGCAAAATTATCCTAGAATTAAACTGAAGCCTTCGCAGGTAATTACACTAATCCATATTGTGATATTATGTCAAAATATTGTGCAGCCCTACACAGCATGCACATCCAGTGAAAGTCAGCTGCTCACCTGTGCATTGGCCTGCACTGTCCCTGTAGGCTCAGCCACCTGTATATGCTGAACCTGAATAGAGTGCTGACTGTAACTGTGAGGGTCGTGTAACTGACTCACATCTACTGTAGAGTGCTGAGCGTGAGGAGAGGACGCCTGCAGAGACAAACAGAACACTCACTTATCAAACCAGTCTAAAACTCACCATTAGATAGAAAAGCACTATTATTAAACATGTTTAAAAAACAGCATTTATTTGAAACAGTAAAGACATTTATAATCTTTAAAAAAAATTCTGTCACTTTTGATCAATTTAATGCATCTTCAAAGAATAAAAGTATTTATTATTATTATTATCAACAGTGATAATAAGAGATGTTGCTTGAGCGCCAAATCAGCATATTAGAAGGATTTGACACTGAAATTCTGCTGTCATCACAGGAATAAATTACATTTTAAAATATATTTATAATATATATATAAAATATATATAATAGAAAACAGCTATTTTAAATTGCAATATTATTTCACAAAATGACTTTTTTTACTGTATTTTTGATCAAATGAATGCAGCCTTGATGAGCATAAGCAACTTAATTCAAAAACATT